CAGTATGGGCAAACTGAAGAGGCAAGAGCAGCATGTGGTCTTTGGAAAACACAAATCATTCAGCATGGCTGGCATGAGGCAGGCAAATGGGTAATGCAGGAGGTGCTGGAGAAGTAGATAAAGAAACAATTTTCATAAGCTTTGATTTAGACTCTAAGAGTTTGGAAAAACTAGTCATTGGAGAGCTTGAGACTCATGGTCCTTTACCCAAAGCAGTTTCATAAAGGTGATCAATTACTTAAACTCAGCTGTGATGAACCCTGTCTCTTGTCCAAAATGGCAGTAAATTATCTGTGTTTTTGTAAAACTAGAGCTCTATTTAATTGTCACAGTGAGCATACATATTTTATTAATCTCTGCGTGAGCACTTAGCACATACCTGGTGCTCCAAAGTGTTTCTTATTTTGAAATGGGTTAACTTAGTTGACCTATCTGTGTGGTGGTTTGGCCAATAAAGGAAGCCAATACTAAAAATAGAAGAAGCAATTTTGAGGGAAAATCTCTTGCAATGAAAAAGCTCTTTCCCCTCACTGTGAAAGTGAGTATGGATTTCTGCTCCAGGACTCTTCTGGCTGCCATTGAAAAGCTGCTGCCTCCAATGGTACATATGTTACCTTCGTTTTCAGTTTTTTTGATATCAGAATTAATTCCAGGCCACTTGTTGTGGCTTCAAACCAAAGCATTTGTGACAACAACTCAAGAATGAATTAAAAAAAAAAAAAATACAGCCAGGCGCGGTGGCTCAAGCCTGTAATCCCAGCACTTTGGGAGGACGAGGCGGGTGGATCACGAGGTCAGGAGATCGAGACCATCCTGGCTAACATGGTGAAACCCTATCTCTACTAAAAATACAAAAAACTAGCCGGGCGTGGTGGCGGGCGCCTGTAGTCCCAGCTACTTGGAGGCTGAGGCGGGAGAATGGTGTGAACCCGGGAGGCGGAGGTTGCAGTGAGCGGAGATCGCGCCACTGCACTCCAGCCTGGGTGACAGAGTGAGACTCCTTCTCAAAAAAAAAAAAAAAAAAAAAAAAACCTTCCCAAAAAACAACATGCTCTTTTTATAAAAGGCCTTTTTTTTTTTTTTTTTTTTTTTTTTTGTGAATAGATTTCCCATACTCACAGATTAATGATTCTTTAGGTACTTTTATCAAATAGATAATTTATACCCATATTAGAATAAGAGGTAATCTTTCATAAAGGTAATGATATCTGACTGGGAGGTAGGCCAAGACTATTTCCTATATCACAACTTATACTGACAATGGTAACATTATCATCTGGAATCTCGTGAAAGAAACAAGATATGTACAAAGCTTTGAATAACAATCACAGGAGCACAATCCATTCTGCTCCATACTTATGTTTCTATCAATTTTTGACTTTTTCTTTTGGAATTATCTTTAATATTTTAATGACAATATGGTGTTTTCACCATTATGCCTAAATCCTATAATCAATTAAGGATGTTGGAAATAGACCATCAGTGACAAAAACGTGGATCGTTGGTCTTGTCGATGCTTTTCTTTGAAGGTTCTGAAAGACCTAAAACTGCCTTCCTCTACACACAGGAGGGAGGAGGGAGAGAGGGAAGCAAAGGAAAAAGTACCAACAGAGAAGTGACAGCAGTTTCATTATGGGTGCACTCTGTGAACTAGTAGGGCAAAAGGAAAAGTAATCAATAAATATGTACTGAGCACTAATTACGTTCTATGCTCTCAAAGAACATTTTGCCTAGAAGACATAAACATGAACAAATTATAAAATATACTCAAGACACACTAGAGGTGAAGGAGCAGAGAGCGATTCAACATTAACGTGTATGGAAGAAGGTATCCATGAGAGACTGAGGAAATATTGCTAGACCAGGACACAAACACCAGGCAAGGCTACCAGAGCACGGGGCTGGTGAGGCAGGTGCAGCAGGAGGCCCATGACACTGAGGTGTGCAGACTCTCAGCCCTCCTGGGTCTCCACACCTGGCTCAGGCCCTCCCCCAGGCCTTGCCCCACTGCTGGTCTCATTCCTCTCCACTGCCATTTACTCACTTCTAGAGAGTCCCAGAACCTGCAACTCCTCACTCTTTACATGGTTAGTGCCTGCAGAGCAGGGCCTCTGACATTTGAATTCTTTCCTATTTTTCCAAACTTAGCACAGTATAGGTCCTCAATAGATGCTTAATGAATAAATCAGAACTGCTGTGATAGTCCCCCTTCTATGGGCCCTGTGGTGCCTCCGACCCAGACCCCCCCCTTCACTCCATTCTTCCCTTGTGGACTCACTCTCATACTTGCACTGCAGACCTCAGTTCTCAGCTCCCTGCAGGGTGCCTAACTCCACTGCCCTGCTGCAGGCAGATACCCCATTAGACATCTCATGGCATAGTGTGCTCCTTCATATGTGTTGCAATTTAACATTTATGTGGACAATTGTTTGATAAAGGCACACCTCTCTTCACTGCACGATAAAGTAAGCACCCAGGAGGACAGAGAATATGTCAGTCTGTTTTTGCTCACCAGTATAGCCCACACTTAACACAGTGCCAAACATAGGGTAGAAGCTCAATAAATATCTTTTGAATTAATAAGTGAATGAAAAAATGGAGAAAGAAAGTTAGAAAACAAAGAAGTGAGTAAAGGAAGAGGATGGGGAGAGGAAGGGAAGAAGGAAGGAAGGAAGGAAGGAAGGAAGGAAGGAAGGAAGGAAGGAAGGAAGGAAGGAAGGAAGGAAGGAAGGAGGGAGGGAGAGAAGGAGGGATGGAGGAAAGAAGGGAGGAAAGGAGTGAGTGAGGATGGGTGGGAGGGAGGAAGGAAAAAGGAAAGAGGGAAGGAAGGAAAGAAGGGAGGAAGGGAGGAAGGATAGAAGGAAGGGAGGGAGGATGGGTGGGAGAAAAGGGAGGGAGGGAAGAAGGAAGGAAAGAAGGAAGGCAGGGAGAGAGGGAGGGAGGGAGGGAGGGAGGGAGGGAGGGAGGGAGGTGGGGGGACAAAGGAAGAAAAAAAGGAAGAATAGTTAGACATGAGTTTGGTCAAGTACATCAGGCAAGAATATTCTTAGATCTTACCCAGTTAAGGACCCAGTGGCGGTTTTAGGCCAGTAATTTAAGAAAAGCACAAAGAGCAAATTGGAAGGAAGAAAGGTGAAAAATAAGAGGCAAAGTCCACCCGTAGAAGAGAGAAGACATAAGCCTCAACCAAGGCAGCAGTTATGTGAATAGTGCATAGGGTTAACATTTAGAGGGTAAAATCAACAGGACTAGATGTCACTGGTGTTTACCTACAGCTTCATTCTCTGGAAGTCAACTATGGTTTCAAAGCCACAAGGTATTTTGTTTCTCAGCAGAACACCAACATCATAAAACAAAAATCTGTAATGAGTAAAATTGCTCTATATTCATAGTAACAAATTAGAACACATTTAGAATTCAATAATAGCTTGATTATGCATGATATGAAAGCATCTTAGGCCGCAAGTCCAACTCCATGAAACCCCCTTCTAGGAGATCATGCAGTTACTTAGCAGAGGCTATCTTTATTTACTTATTTATTTTATTTTATTTTTTTGAGACAGGGTTTCTCTTTGTCGCCCAGACTGGAGCGGAGTGGCATGATCATGTCTCACTGCAGTCTTGATCTCCTGGGTTCAAGCGATCCTCCTGCCTCAGCCCCCTGAGTAGCTGGGACCACAGGCGCCCCAATGTCTGGCTACTTTTTGTAGTTTTTGTAAACACAAGATTTCTATTAAAAAAACCCCAGCTGCTCTTGAACTCTTGAGCTCAAGCAATCCTCCTGCCTCAGCTTCCCAAAGTGCTGGGACTACAGGTGTGAGTCACCATACCTGGCTGAGGCTATCTCTAAGAGAAGGAAAGTAAAGCAGAAATTGCTTAGCCCCTGCAGCAAATTGAGAGCCATCAAATGCTCCCAAGGCCATTTGAATGCAGTCTATTCAGTTACCTACACCTCTGTGAAATGGTGAAAGAAATAAAAAAGACAAGTTTAAAAATCAAAATAGAGGATGGATGCATTTAACAGAGAAAAATAATAACTTCATTATTTTCCACAGGTAGAATTAGATTATGTCAAAATGGAAAGATGGCATGTTTTTAAGTCTATGATTTTCTTCTAGTGAGGCAATGTCAGTGTATCCCAGGAAAATACCCAGTAATTCTACTGAACACTGTAAGCCTTTACACAGGCTTAATGTACATTTTATAGTATGTTACTCCAATTTAAAACAATTATATATGCTTATTATTTCTCCCAACCTTCTCACATGTGTAGCCTACATTAATGCCCTCTTTTTATGTTATAGAAAAGACAAGTAATTACTGTGAATAGCTTTCATTAGACTGTGGGTCACGGCCTACAGCTCATTAAACTGTCCTATAATGGAGTGTGTGCTGACCATGTTTTGGATATCTGTTTCAAATTTATCTTGACAAATGGAGAAATATTCAATATCAACCAGTATTCAATACATTAGGGATGTGTACGAAATATCCATCCATACATGCACTTGTAATGTCCTAAATCAATTAAAATTAAAATATATTATTGTTTTCAGTGATTAAACAATTATGCTAGACAGATTTGCTTTTTGGAGTTAGTGACAAATGTCAGTGAAATTGACATTTCAGTCAATTGATAAATTAATACCCTAATAGTTAATGTACATTGCATCTAACTATTCTATAACCAAGACAATAAGCAGACCTCCTACTGTATCCAAAGCCTATTTTGAATTTCTATGTAAAAATTGAATTCAGTTACATTGTGAGGGACACCATGTCATCATACACTTTTGAGCATGTGGCTTTGATCTTACTGTACAACATTCATTACATTGTATTTTCCACAGATAATCACTTCTGAACAAAATTTAATATTTGAGGACTAGAAAAGCAATGCCAAATTATATCAGAAGGGGCCACTTAGAAATATTTTATTTCTATTCTTATAGAAATGTTGCATTGTTTATATGAGGAGAAATGATAAAAATAAGACTTACCACCATTATGTATCGAGGTCTGTACTGAATGGTTCCAAACAAACCCAATATGACAACTATTATGTGCAGAAAATTTCCAAGAATAGGAGCCCACTGGAAACCAAGGAAGTCAAAGATCTGCCTCTCTAATGCTGAGATCTACAACAACAACAAGAACAAAAATAAAGTTCATTAGTGTCTAATCCAAGCATCATCACGTTATTTTAATCTTTAATCTCATGGCTGGAGGAATCTGCACATTCAACTTCAATCGCACTTTTTGTCACCATTATTATTAGAATTTTCATTCTTATTTCATGTGCTGTTTTCTGCACCTTCTCTCAGAAACTATACTAAGATAGTTTTGAGCATTATAACTTCAAGTATAAATAGATTTTAAATCTATCTGGAGAGTTAGAGATACACTTCTTAAATCATTTTCTACAGTAGAAATTCCAGACAGATTTTTTAATGTTTTAAGTTCATCATTTTTATTTTTATATTAAAAGTTATGTTTAATTATTAGGGGTACATGATATATATATATATTTATGGGGTACATGTGATGTCTTAATATAGACATACATATGTAATAATCACAGCAGGATAATTACAGTATCCATCACCTCAAACATTCCTCTTTTCTTTTTGTTAGGAACATTCCAATTCCACTATTTTAATTGTTTAAAAATGTGTGATAAATTATTGTTGACTATAATCACCCCATTGTACTATCAAATACTGGATATTATTCATTCTATCTACCTCTATTTTTGCATTTATTAACCATCCTCATTTTATCTTCTTCTCCCCTTCCCAGCCTCTGGTAACCATCATTCTACTCTCTATCTCCATGAGCTCAATTGTTTCAAATTTTTGCTCCCACAAATGAGTGAGAGCATGTGAAGTTTGTCTTTCTGTGATTGGCTTATTTCATATCATTATTTTTAGTAAAACAATTGGCTTAGTATAACATCATTGGATCAAAAAGAACTCCGGGCTTGCGACACTAGAACTAGTGTAATTTTGGAAAACAAACAAAAAACGAAAACTCCTGCCTATCCCCGCTTTCCTGTGTGAAATATACATTAGCCAAATCTGTTCTCTTTCTTTTCCTTTCCTTAGATTGCCAATGCTGATAATGACTAACTACCTGTTCAAAACGAAGCTTCCTCATTTACTTACTCTGGGCTCAAGACTCTGATCTAAAACTAGAGTTAAACCCTTTGAATTGCATTTTATTGAGATCATATACTGACAAGAAAATTCATCTTGGATTAGATAGCATCCTTTTAGAATACCAAACAGAAATTATGAGGTCATTACAATTTTAGACATGCCACAGTTTATTATAATTGTATTACATACATCTTGACATTTTAAAACAATTATAAAATGTGTCAATATATACACAACCATTTATGATGAAACAGATGCATTTCATATGGTCCAGTGAATACCAAAAATGCCATTATCGTGTTCTAACAGTATTTCTTGTATTCTACATTGAAAAATTTTACAATATCACTTGCTGTATTTGGTCATGAATCATTACACATTTCAGGCATTTTTCTAGTTTTGTATTGATAAAATAGTAATTCTAATAAAATGATCCAGTGATTAGCCATACTGATGGCACTGGAAACTGTAGCTTTGAAAAGAAATTGGCACCCTAGGTATTTTTCTAGTTATGTGACAGGTGTATGCTTGAATAGCTTTAATTTTCTTGGACATAAAGAAATGTCCTCTATCCAGTAAGCTGAATTTACCCTGGTCAAGATTTGCCTTCAGCAAGCTGTGGAGGAAAAGAGAAGAGAGCGAACGCCTAAAGAAAACCACACCAGATCCACATTCATTTCACGGGTATTTCCTGATCATGGCGTGATATGATTCAGGATGCTTTCAGGATTCATCTCCTGAATCCATAAATGTTCAGAAATGGTTACAATGCAAAATATCAGAGTAAGGAAAGAAGCAGCAGCACAGTGTTTTTTACTTCCTGCTTGTCTCTGCTTGTGACTCTAATTAGTCCCTAGGAACCTTTCTCTAAAAATTAGTTCCTGGGAATCTTTCTATGCAGCATTTTATTTATTGGCCCATCAGTGATACAAATATGTATTTTTTAAATGTCCAAACATAATTAAATACTAAAAAAAAGAAAGAAAGAAAGAAAGAAAAAAAAGAAACCCTGAAGAGCAGCTGCAGGCCATTCATTCTGAAAAACAACGCTATTTCAAAGCAGTTGTGCATGACAAAAACCTTTAAGGTGAACTTTCAAAGAGAAAAACTCATTTTCTTTTCTGTCAGTAGATGCATGGATACCATTCTCTTTTATGATATTAAGGAAAACACAGGTAATGAAAGAGAAGCCAAATTAATGCCACTTATGATAAAATATGCATTTTATATTCAAGGCACGCTCTCTATTTATTAATATTTACTCCCTGAGAACTTAAAAAAATGAATTGAGGTGGGAAGAAATAAGAGTACAAATAAAAAGACATGAAAAACAGAGAAGGGAGCATATCGAGAATATGGAGAAGGGCAGCTGTAACAACTATACAAACTGTGAAAACTAGATTTGATTATTACAAATTTGAAAAGTTAACTAACAACAACAAAGACTTCAAAAATAAACAAAATACCATTGTATTTTTTTACCTAATTATTCTATTTAACTCGCATTTTGGTTATTTAGCCATTTAGTTTACTGGCTAGTATTTTCTCTCTAAATGTCATAATCTCTAGAGACACAACTTTTTGCCCTTGACTGTGATGTTTATAATAATGACCCAGAGACCCCAAATAAGATGAAATTATATCCAAGTTGCTTTGTTAAGTTGGAAAATGGATGACTGTTCTTTAGAAGTATCTCTGTTAAAATGACTCTAATTTGTGGTGTTGGGGAGATGCTGGCCTTGGTTGGGGGGTGGGAAGGAGGCATCTCTTCCCCATTCTATGGTCAGTGACCTCAAGTTGGGAACTTGATGTCTGTCATGATGGGAATATTTGCAAAATGAAAATCAGAAAATGCTAAAAATTAGAATTAGTTTATATGTATGTTTTGAGAACCAATGTTAAACTTTTACCTGCACACCACTGAATATGGCACCTAGAAAACAGTCGTTGTGATTCAGAACAGCTGTGGAAGGAAGTCACTAAATTGTAATCTAGCATAAATAGAAAGCAACCAGTCCAGATGAGGGCAGAAGGGTAGAGGACTGAAAGTGGATATATGTAGAGATGCCCAAGTGAAGAGAATGAATGAGACTTTTACAGAACTTGAGTTTAAATAAAAGTAGAGAAATAAAGAAAATATAAAGGCAGTAAGATGCTCCAGAGACTGTGAAATCAACAGACCTAAAGAAAAACGCATCATTTGCCCATGTTTTGATCAGATAATTAGATTTTTTAATAGAGATGTTTGAGTTCCTTATATAATTTGAATTATTAACCTGTTGTCAGATGGGTGGTTTGCAATTTTTTTCCTCCCATTCCATGGGTTGTCCCCCCACTTTGTTGATTGTTTGCTATGCTGTACAGAAGCTTTTTAACTCGATGTGATCCCATTTGTCAATTTTTGGTTTGGTTGCCTGTGCTCGTGGGATATTATTAAAGAAATCTTTGCCCAGTCCAATGTTCTGGAGAGTTTCCCCAGTGTTTTCTTCTAGTAGTTTTATAGTTTGAGATCTTAGACTTAGGCCTTAAATCTATTTTGATTTAATTTTTGAATATGTCAAGAGATAGGAGTCCAGTTTCATTCTTCTGCATATGGATATTCAGTTTTCCCAAACCCATTTATTGAAAAGATCGTCCTTTCCCCGATTTATGGTTTTAGCATCTTTGCCAAAAATGAGTTCACTTTAGATATATTAATTTACTTCTGGGTTCTGTATGCTGTTCCATTAATCTATGTGTCTGTTTTTATGCCAGTGCCATGCTCTTTCAGTTACTATAGCTCTGTAGTATAATTTGAAGTCAGGTAATGTGATTCCTACAATTTTGTTATTTTTGTTAAGGATAGCTTTGGATGTTCTGGGTCTTTTGTGATTACATATACATTTTAAGATTGTTTTTTCTATTTCTGATAGAGAGCACATCAAATCTGTGGATTGCCTTGGGTAGTGTGGACATTTTAACAGTATTGATTCTTTCAATCCATAAACATGGAATATCTTTCCTTTTTTTGGTGTCCTCTTAAAATTTCTTTCATAAATGTTTTATAGTTTTTATTGCAGAGATCTTTTACTTTTTTGGTTAATTCCTAGGGATTTAATTTTATTTGTAGCTATTATAAATGGGATTACTTTCTGGGTTTCTTTTTTAGATTGTTTGCTGTTGGCATACAGAAATGCTACTGATTTTTGCATGTTGATTTTGTATCCTGCAACTTTACTAAATTTGCTCATCAGTTTTTATATTTTTGGTGGAGCCTATAGGTTTTCCCAAATATAAAATCATACATCTGCAAACAAGGCTAATTTGACTTCTTCCTTCCCAATTTGATTCCCTTTATTTCTTTCTCTTATCTGATTGCTCCAGTTAGTACTTCTGGTACTATGCTGAATAACAGTAATGAAAGTAGGCATCCTTGTTGAGTTCCAGGTTTTAGAGGAAACACTTTCAGTTTCTCCCCATTCAGTATGATAGCTGTGGGTCTGTTGTATATGGCTTTTATTTGTTGAGGTAATTCCTTCCATACCTAGTTTTTTTTAAAGGTTTTTTTTTTTTTTAAATCATGAAGGGATGTTGAATTTTATCAAACACCTTTTCAGCATTAATTGAAATGATCATATGGTTTTTGAGTTACTTCTCAAAGAAGACATATAAATGGCCAACAGGTATATAAAAAGGTGGTCAACATTACTGCTCATCAGAGAAATGCAAACCAAAATTACAATAAGATATGATCTCACCTCAGTTAAAATGGATTATATCCAAAAGACAGGCAATAGCAAATGCTGGTAAGGGTGTAGAGAAAAGGGAAACCCTGTATACTGTTGGTGGAAATTTAAATCATTGCAACCCACTATGGAGAACAGTTTGAATTTATTTCTAGGTTCTCTAGGCTATTCCATTAATCTATGTGTTATTTTTATGTCAGTGCCATGCTGTTTCAGTTACTATAGCTCTGTAGTATAATTTGAAGTCAGGTAATG